AGTTGGTGAAGGTCTTGAACCGGCTAGTACTACTACTACTTCTACTACTACTACCACTACACCGGCTGTTGTTAATCCAGCTCAAGACTCAACAGTTCACTGGAACGATATCAATAGTGCGTTCAAAGGCAGAATAAAGACTGGTGTGATAACTAATCTGAAACATCTGGATTTGAATGAGTTTTTGAGGCATGCCAAACCATTATTCCATGCTCAAATTAAGGAGACCTTGAAGAAACATAGTTCTTTAAAAGTTAATGCCATACTGTATGCAGTCGAAAAGAATAATTGCGATGAAAAGCTCGATGTGAAGCATTTCAATACGAAGATGGTGCCTATATACTTAACCACAGACATAGACGAGTGGTTCGTCGAAAACGTTTTACAACCAATCAGTAAGAGCACGGAAGAATTTCAAGAGCAAGACTCGGGCTGGTCTCTTCGCGTTATATTAAACTTAACCGTAATTATCAGCAAGTACAATCCTATGAGAGCTGGTTCTTACGTTGAATTGCCCAAGCCTATTAAGAGAAAGAGAGCCTGTGTGAACGTGCGGAACAACGACAACGAATGCTTCAAATGGGCCATCCTTTCGGCGTTACATCCAGTCACAAGGAATGCATGCCGTGTCACTGCCTATACTGCTCATCAAGATAAATATAATTTCAAAGATCTATCATTTCCGGTACACCCGAAAGAAGTCGTGAAATTTTAAAAGCAAAACAACGTTTCAGTGAACGTGTACTTTTTAAATTTGAATAATGGGTCCTACGATGTGTTACCGCAACATTTGACCGATGAGAAAAAAGACAGGCACGTGAATCTTCTTCTAGTGGAAAATTATTATATCGATGTGAACGAAAAGCAGCAGCAGCAGCAGCAGCAACAGCAGCAGCAAATAGAACGTTCCGGTATACCATACAAAGTGCACTATGTTTGGATAAAAGACTTATCTCGATTGATATATCGACAGTTGTCATTTCGCAAATGTAAGTCGTACATATGCGATCGTTGCTTGCACTATTTTCTAACTGAAGAGAGATTGAAAACGCACGAGATCAACTGTAAAAATGTGAATATTTGTAAAATTGTGCTTCCCAGTGTCAAGGATAAATATTTACAATTTGAAAACTTTAAAAATGAGTGCGCGGTACCGTTCGTCGTGTACGCCGATTTTGAGAGTCTCTTGGAAGCGGTGTCCAACGACGAGCGGATCTATCAACGTCACAAACCGTACTGCGTTGGCTTTTTCGTCAAGTGTAGCTACGATGACTCTCTTTCGCGTTATCGAAGCTACAGACAGAAAACCGTCGATGACTTTGGTCCAGCCAAGTGGTTCGTTCGCAATCTTCACGATTTGGCCAAGTATCTGCAAGAGTTGTACAGAAGCCCGCAGCCTATGGAAAATTTAACGTTCCAAGAGGCATTTAGCTTTCTTCGTGCTACGCTATGTCATATCGTATATGTCATAGGCCTTTTGTCGAGAATGAAAAAAAAAAAGACAGAAAAGTTCGCGATCATTGTCACTTTACGGGAAAGTATCGTGGAGCTGCTCACAGCACGTGTAACACTGCTTATCAAGAATCGCGAACTATACCCGTTTTTTTCACAATCTCAGCAGATACGATGCGCATCTATTTATCCGGGAAATCGCGAACGAATTTCCCGGTCGAGTGAGCCTCATTCCTCAAACCAAGGAAAAATACATATCTTTTACGAAGTACGTGGAAGGTACCGATATAAAGCTGCGTTTCGTCGATTCGTTTCGATTTATGGCGTCTTCGTTCGACAAACTATCGTCGTACTTGGAAAAACACGATATTCTAGAGCGACATTTTCAGCAAGATGACGGATACACACTGCCGCAGATTGCCCTACTCAAGAGAAAAGGTGTATTTCCGTATGACTATGTGTCGTCGTTTACAAAACTCGAGGAGACGACGACGCTTCCACGAAAGCAAGATTTTTACAGCAGTCTGTACGATTCGGATATCAGCCACGAGGAGTACAGTCACGCGGAGAACGTTTGGAGAACGTTCGACATCGCCGATCTCAGCAACTATTCGGATTTGTATCTCAAGACGGACGTTCTCTTGTTGGCCGAAGTTTTTGAAAATTTTAGAGCCAAGTGTCGAACGGCGTATCGTTTGGATCCGGCCCACTACTATACGACGCCCGGATTGAGTTGGGACGCCATGTTGAAGTATACGGGTGTAAGGTTGGAGCTCTTGACGGATATCGACATGCTCATGTTTGTCGAGCGCGGCATTCGCGGTGGAATTAGTCAGTGTTGTAACAGGTACGCTGCCGCGAACAATCCATACAGGGCCACGACGATGACGACGACAAGTACGATCCACAGAAAGATGATAAATATTTGATGTATTTTGACGTCAATAACCTTTACGGTTGGAGTATGACCGAGCCACTTCCACTCGGTGATTTCGAATGGTGCGACATTGACGCCGCCGCCGCCGCCAACTTTTCCTTCAATATTCCCAATGACTCAGCCCTCGGTTACATACTCGAGGTGGATTTGGAGTATCCAGAAGAAATTCACGATGCGCACAGAGATATGCCATTTTGTCCGGAGCACAAAGCCGCTCCGTAATCCAAGCAGAAAAAGCTCATGACGACTCTCCATAATAAGGAGCGTTACGTAATCCACTACAGAGCTCTAAAACAAGCAATAGGGCATGGCTTGCACCTCGCAAAGATACATCGGGTTTTTAAAGTTTAAACAGAGTCCATGGCTCAAGACGTACATCGATTTGAATAGCGAGTTGCGTAAGCGAGCGGCAAACGAATTCGAAAAAATGCTGTACAAACTGTTCAACAATGCGGTGTACGGCAAGACCATGGAAAACGAGAAGAAACGCATCGACGTGAAGTTGATGAACAAGTGGGAGGGGCGATACGGTGCCGAGGCTCTGATAGCTCGACCAAATTTCCACAGTAGCGACATTTTCGACGACGAACTGGTGGCGATTCAACTATTGCGTACGGAAATCACCGTGAGAAAACCCATTTACATAGGTCTTGCTGTTCTCGACTTGTCCAAGACGCTCGTGTATCGATTCCACTACGACTACATGGGCGGTGCCGCCGTTGGCGAGGAGCGTTGCAAGCTTCTGTACACCGACACGGACAGTCTCGTGTACGAGATCACCAATGTAGACATGTACGAGGTCATGCGTCGTGATATTCGCGAATTCGATACGTCGGATTTTCCAGAGCCGAATCGCTTCGCGATTCCCAGAGCCAATAAAAGGGTGGTCGGTAAGATGAAGGACGAGAACGCCGGAATGCTCATGCTCGAGTTCGTGGGACTCGGAAGCAAAATGTACAGCGTGAGAGTTCGGAATAGAGATGCGATAAAGAAGGCAAAGGGAATCAAGAATTCGGTGCTGAATACCACGATTACGTTCGCTGACTACGTCAAATGTCTCCGAGAAAATGTGATTTTGAGCCGACAGCAAAAGTCCATCAGATCGCGTTATCATCAGTTGTACAGCGAGAAACAAACAAAGATCGCGCTCAGCGCGCACGACGATAAACGCTTCTTGTTGCCCGGAACCACCGATACGCTTCCTTGGGGCCATTACGGCATTCCATTGGTGGAGAGGGAGGGGCGGATAGAGGCGTTGGGAATGATCGCAGTCGAGCCAACGGTCGCTGCTGCCGCCGCCGACGCCGCGGCCGTCATCGCCGCCGCCACCGCCACCACCAACACCACCACCACCACCATCGAGACGCCAGCCGACGCCGCCGAGCCGCTGGCCACCGCCGCCGCCGCTGTCGAGTCGCCGTCGCCGAAAAAGAGCGGAGTGGAGGACGGGTTATATCAATCGACATCCGAGGCTTCGCAGCTCATTCTCATCGAGACAAAGTTACCAGCAACGTTGACGATAAGTAGCGAGCAGCAGCAGCAGCAGCAACAGCAGCAGTCTTCGAATTTCATTCTTAGTCAGCTTGCACTGAGGAAAAGAAAGTTACTGGAAGCTCGGTTTGTCGATAAAATTAGAAAAAAATAAAAAAAATTACACGAGATAATTGTGATTTTGTGTGTGTGTGTGTGTTTTGTTTCAAGTCAACTGAGTTTAAATATTATTGTTTTTTTCTACAGATGGATCTCGCGCAGTTTGGCTAAGAATAAGTGGGAAGAGGAGCAGCGCATGGCGACAAGACAAAAGTATGAAGGGAGAAGAGAAAAAAGTTAGTGAGGCGCAAGGTGAGTAATGAGAAGGCCGCCGAATCGATAGTCGATCGACGCATGAAATGAGGAATAATTGTCTAATGAGCTAACCATTATCAAGGAAGCAGATTCAACCTCGGCGCTCGTTTGTCACTTGGTCACCAGCATTAAGAATTGTCTGCCAAGGCCGAAGGCAGCCAAAACCAAGATTCCATGCCGGAGAAGCGCGAGTCACGCTCCAGCTACTCCCAAGCCGGTGCAGGTCATCGTCAGGGCGCCATTGCCAATCGGACTGCGCTTCCGCCGATGTCACCTCTTCATGTTAATAATATTCTGTTAACAATATATTACGTAATAACAATTTTAGTATGAACATATTTCAGACTTGATTATTCTTTGTTGATCTTTAAGAATGAAGTTTTAGTTATTTTTTTAATTTTCACACATGTTTGATAATACATCTTTCAAATAATAAAATTTCTTTTACATATTGATTATAATAAATTGGAAGGGAAAAAGTTCTTTCATCATAAAATATAATAAATTAATATTTTTAAAACAATCAAAATCATATAGTTTATGTGATTCTTTTGAGAATCACTCCGCTAATGTAGTTTCTTTCTAAAAATACAGTTTTCTTTTATGAAATATTTCCATAGAAAATATTATATTGTTGTTTATTAAACGTTGGAAAGTTAGTTGCTGACTTGCCCGAATTATCTTTTCCCCCATATATCTCATCTAGTTTTTTTATGATAACTGATTATGGTAAAATTGCTAAAACTTTTTATTAATCATATTTCAGAGTTTTTCCGAAAAATGGATAAGTCTTGATTCAGAATTAGAAATGAAAGGTAATGATGTAGTTGGTACTAAGTGTTCAACTGGACATATACTTCTCATAGACTGCCGTTTTGAGATACCTTTCGGTAAGTAATTGACAACACTCTTTCATCTTAATTACTTTTGAAATGAAAATAATAATGAAATACTGTCATAATTGTTATTGTATTTGTTACTACAAGAAATATATTCATTTTGAATACTGCAGATGCTAACTAGGTAACTGTATGCATTAATCATAATTTTCTACGTCTATGCGAATTCTAAACGTACGGCAAAAAACACAAATTCTACTTGAGTACAGGCGTTACCTTATAGTGGCACTTTATAGTCTCACTTTTCCATTAAATCCACATAATAATGAAGATCAAGAAATTTAAAAATGGTCCACCCTGTATACATATATAATTTTTAATATTCTAACGGGGCGGGGGGGGGGGGGGGTTAACTGACACAACTTGGGTTTATTAAAGAACAATCTTCCACGATGCAGAGGTAACCGCCGCTCCGTTAATCACGTATGAGTAAACGTGTGTTCGCCTTTATGATTGATACTTTCGCTCCAATGTCTCCTTTCCAACATAGTTAAACTCACCTTAAGTCACCTGCCTGGTGACACTTGCTTTATCTTAGGTGTGAGTAACCTAATGTTTACTTCAACTATTCCCTAGATGAAATCGATTAAAAGAAAAACACCAGGTGACGGATTCGTTAAAGGGAGAATAAAATTAAATCGTCAGGCGGCGAATAAAATTAAAACTTTTATAATAAATAAAATTAGTCTTTTGTGGGCCGAAAAACTTGCGCACGCGTATAGGATTTACAATTATCCGGGGAGAGAGAAAGAGAGAGAATTCGAAATTCTACCGCGAACTATAACACTCGACGCGAATGCGAAAAGGGTAAGGTCGCTCACAAATAAACGCGCGGAATTATTAGCGTCGCACGGAAATAAATGTGGTGCACCTACCCTGCGGTACGATTACGGTGATCAGTCGTAACCGTTTATTACCTAAGTTAATTGAGCTCCTGGAGAATCTGCTGCGCTGCCTCGGTCACAGAGATCGATTGCTACTGCCTCGTTGCTGTTGTGAGCTACTTCCGTCCGCTAGTGTCAAAGTAGCTGTTGCTGATTGTCCACTTCCATCACGCACACTCGTACCAAAAAATCTAAAACTTCCACTCGGTGAAAGGCAAGGAAAATGCACGAAAAATACGGGGAAAAATTTGGCGGAATTCTAACGAACAGCTGAGGCTATATTGAAAATTAAACTGTCGAACGCCCCCTCTCTCTCTCTTAATCGTTTGCTCTAGCATCGCGAGTGCTACCAAATCATGAACGTATCGATTGATCGAATCGACTACCGTTGCAATATATATTTACATTTATATGTATTGTAACGGAGTGGATTAGCTAGTACAAAAGGGATTTATTAAAGCACAAACTCCCACGATTCAGAGCTAACCACCGCTCCGTTAAATCCGTATGAGTATACGTGTACTCGCCTTTACATTTGATACTTTCATTCCAGTGTCTTCTTTCCAATAGAGTTGAACTCACCTTAAGTCACCTGACTTATGACACTTGATCTATCTTAGGTGTGGGTAACCTAATGTTTATTCCAACTAATCCCCTAGATGAAACCGGTTTAAAATTTATCCTGTGATAGATCCGTTAAATTAATAGGAAACGAAATAACGTAATACGGCGAATAAAATTAATATTATTTATGACTAGAAAATTACAGTCTTGGACGAGCCGAAAGACTAACGCACGTAAATAGGATTTACAATGATTAATAATAATACGGGGAGTGAGAGACAGTGAAACTAATTGGCGGTACTTTCGCAAGTAGCAGTCGAGGCTTAACTGAAACTTTGAACTCTCACGCGCCCCCTCTCTCTCTTCGACGTTCGCTCTAGCATCGCGAGTGCTACCGAATCGCAAAAGGATCGATTGATCGAATCGACTACCGTTGCAGTATATATATTTATAATATTATATGTAATTATATTAATATATTAATATTATGACTATTAATATATTAATATATAATATATAATATATGATATATAACATATATTATATATTATATAAATGATAGAAATACATGTATGGCGATAATGGAAACGGACGGCTGTAAATAAAAAAAATATATAGTTATTTCCAATGAAGATTTTCTCAAAATCGGAAGAAAATCATTTACTGTTTTTCTTTCGTTTTGAAATCGAAAAAAGAACCTTCTAATTCATTTTTTCCGTCTTATTTCAACCACCCCTCACATTCTTCATTTTTGTTTTGTCTAGCATATATCCGCTACTATTTTCTATTGATGTATGGATATACTCTACCATACTATACTGCACACAATAGTTCATGTGTAAAATAGTTATATGCACAATCCACAATCGTCAACGTGCCTTCAAAAATCGTAGTAAAATAAATCAGGCCAAGATAAACAGTGAAAAATAAATAAATAAGACCAAATAAGCAAATAAATGATTAAACCTCACCAACTTGACTTTGGGGATTATGTAAGAGTACAGATTTTGTCGCGCGCATAAGTCGATGAGTAACCGGAGTAGCTAAGTCAAATAGGATTAATATTAATATGTGTTCTTGATCGCGCGTGCGCTTTTCTTTTCACACAGCAAGTCGTAAAAATCAGTTCATCGGACAGGCCGTGGGTGGTATATCTGCAACGACTTGAGCAAACCTTTTTGAAGACCTTTTTCTAAGGCGGTCGCGCAGCTATTCAATTGTTATTATTTTTTATTTAACATATAAAACAGCACTTTTCAGTGCTAAATCACAATATATGGTAAACTATTTGTTCATTAAATAAAAGAATTATATTTGAAAAAATTCATTAAATTTCAATAAAACACCATTTTTTAGTGCTAAACAACAAAAAATTATTAATAAATGTGACTAGTTTATTTTTTCTTTTTTTGTATCCAATTTGCAGCAGAGTCAATAGGTAAGTATAACGTAGGTATTTTTTAATTAAGTTACATTCACTAGGTTGAAATAAAAGACTGACATGATCATTTTGTATTAAAAGTAATTATCTCGTACTTTACGATGGTTTGAATTTAATGTTTGCAAAATTTGTTTGGATGTGATAAATGGTGTAGTCTTTCTACATGCGGACATCTTGTTTATGCGGCGTGTAGTAAAACTCAATTACTGTCCGATATGTCACCAAGTAATTACGAGACGTGTTTATGCATATTTTATATAAATTTTCTTTTATAAAACATTTTTTATTTAAGCAGCGCGGATGTATTATTGTACTATTAATCATTTAATTAATTTTCTCAAAAAGGATTAAATATTTTAAATTGTTTATACTAACATATTTATTTCATAATTAAAATCAGGTCGAAAAGACTTTTTTTTTTAATAAATCAATATTTATTTTGTTTTTATTTTAAATTACATAAAATTTGATACATCAAATAATAGTGTTATTATAAATAATAACTTATTGTATTTTTGACGAGGAAGCATCCATTTGGTCATAGCAAGTGCATTTTTCAAGCACACGATGAATTTGAGTGACACTCGGTGTAGTTACTGCATAAAGAAAAAGTTTGGTTTGATTGGATCTTGACTGAAGGAAATAAAATAATAATAATATACAGGGTGGACCATTTTAAGTGAGCCAGTACGTTTTCTCGGAAACTAGTGGGGATAGCGAAAAATGTTTCAAACAAAAGTTGTCCAACTTGGAGGGGGACATACCCTCATGACCTTGCCTGTGTCCTTGGATGTAAGGTTCAAGGTCATTTCAAGGTCAATTTTGTTTTCTTAAACGGGACCCCCTATTTTTGACCCTGGATTTGGAAAGAACGGGAAATTCTACGTTCAGATGACCTATTATACGTGGGGTCTGGAGTGACCCTCAAGGTTATTTGAAGGTCATTTTTATTTTTTTACGAGTGTAAGATTTACGAAAAATAGTTTCATACAAAAGTTGCTCAACTTGAGGACATACCCTTATGACCTTGCCTGTGACCTTGGAGGTCAGGTTCAAGATTTTTTCAAGGTCAACTTTGTTTTATTAAACAGGGCCCCTCATTTTGACCCCGGATTCGGAAAGCGTTGATTCGCCCCTTTTATCATATGCTAGCGCAAGGCCGTATGCTTTTCTAGCTTAACCATCCATTTTACCCCATAAAAGTAACATTTACCGTGAAGATAGAATATCTGTCATTGTATGGTTTGGCTTATCGAATCTCTTCATTCTCCCAAAACAAAAATTATTTTTTGATACAGCAGCTTAGTTTATTCGTTTATTTCACTGAATAAAGATTTTGTGTTCATTGAAGAGAATTTTTTTGTTACAAATTTTTATTAAAAATTAAATCAAAAGCCTTTTGTTTCGGAGTATGCCGGATTATACTGCGCGTGAACGTGTTGACATGATTATTATTCTTGGTCTAGCCGGAGGGAATTATCGTAGAGCTGCAAGACTTTATCAAGAACGTTTCCCGTACCGAAGACACCCTAATCGTAACACCATTCGAAGGGTTCATGTGAAAGCTCAACAAGGACATTTCTTTCGTACGCGAAGACATCATACTTACGATGAGAATGATGTTCGCGTGCTTGTGATATTGGCAATTATTCATAACAATCCTCATATTAGTACATTAAAAATTAAAAGAGAAACTGGCATACCAAAGCAAACTGTCGTGAGAATTTTGAGAAGCCAAAAATTCCGACCATATCACATCACTCTCACTCAAGCCATCACACCAGATGATATGGAAAGACGACTGGAGTTTTGTCGTTGGGCAAGAGAAATGATTCAAAACGACAGAACTTTTTTCCGTAATGTCATATTCTCTGACGAAGCTACATTCAAAAATAATGAGGAGCTCAACAGGCACAACTGTCATTATTGGTCAGCTGAAAATCCTCATTGGCATCGACACATAAATCATCAGCATCGTTGGAGCGTCAACGTGTGGTGTGGCATTATCAATGGACATGTGATTGGACCTTACTTTTTTGAGGGAAATGTCAATGGGGAAAACTTTTCTCGATTTTTACAAAATGAAGTAGATGCACTATTGG